CCGACCTGCGCACGTCCTGGCGGAGGGTCCCGCACGCAAAGCTCTCCCCTTCCCAGGCTGCAGAAGCCTCTGACTCTCCCTCCCGCCTCCTTTCTCTTCCCTTCTGGTTTTGGTTTTTTTTTTTTTTTCCAAAACCCCCTCCCCCGTGCCCCCCCATTTTCCTACACCCCCCTCCCCGTGCTCCCCCACCCCAAGAGACAGGACTCAGCCTGGCTAGTCGGGCGCTGGCGTAGGCCAGGCTTCCTTCTGTGCAGCCCTTTGGGTAGAGCTGCTAATCCTTCTTATTAATTAATGAGATAATAGCAGTTAACCGGAAAGCAATACTAATGCTAACTATCTAGGAAACTTCCAACGGAACGGAGTTAGTCTTTTTTTTGCCGATTTCCTGATAACGAAGTCATGCAGCTGGAACTGTAGCAGCATCTTGCTGGTTTAAGAAGTTAAAAAACCCAAGAGTGCCTGGGCAGTATCCGACCAAGGACATCTGCATCTACTTTCTGCCATCCTTCTTGGGTAGTTTAAAAGATCCTCCCCTCCCTCAACTTCAGGGTTTATTAACAGCTGGGGATGTAGGCTCCCCCAATTATATCACTCTTACACAAGGACAAAAGAGAGTGTAAACAATGACTGATCTGAGAAATGTACTCTGAGAAGCACATGCGATGAAAACACTTACAAATGTTTACCACTTACATGTACCCTGGCTTCAGCCCTTTAAATTCCGGAAGTATTTCTCAAGGTCTACCATGCTTCATTCAGGATGTGCTGAAATACCTAACATCAAGTTTGCATTTTATTTAAACTGAAAATAACAGCAGAGATTACACAGGGAGGGATTAGGAATTCTGCAGATGAGGCACATTTCTGTAGATATATCACATTATAGAAAAAACAGCATTGCAATTTTTTTTTTTTTTTTAATTAGCCATTGTAAGACTAAGTAAAAGACCTATCAGATGAAGGGATTTATATTATCTGGGTTGTGTTGCAGCAAACAAGTACTGCAGCTTTCATTCACTGATTGTCAAAAACTTTCCAATGTGCCCACTGCAATGCGGATGCCAACCAACGAATCAAAGGCATTCAGCGACCAGACAAAGAGGGTCTGATGCCAACCTCGGTGCCACTGGCAACCATTATTGGCATCAAGCACATTTTCTGCCTTTTTTTTCCCCTCTCCTGGCACTCGACAAACAAAATGGTGGTTCTTGTAGCAAAGGGGATGCAGCGTAAGTGCTGCACTGAACCAAATACCATCAAATGATTTTATGGACTGAGATGCATTTTATGCCAAACGATAGACACTCTCTGATGCCTGACGGAAATAACAATTTTTTTAAAAGGCAATTTTGTCAATAGAAACAACATTCATGTCATTTTCAAGGTTTAGGCTTTTTAAAAACTCAGGGAAGGGCGGGTAGAGACCCGATACACTCAACAAGCAGAGCCCCATAGAAGTGTGTTATAATTATGAATTATTTGATGTTAAACTAGGTCCCAGTGTGTACTTCCCATTTTCTTCCTCCATTTCAGTCAAAAGAACAGTGTTGCAACCTATGTCAAGCTCCTTTTTCTTTTTTTTTTCTCTCTTTTTTTTTTTTTTTATAAGATCCTAAAGCACTAGAGGATAGTAGAAAGAGAATAAGGGGGAAAAAAGATGCTGAATTCTGAGGGAGATGAACAAAAAGTAGAACCAGACGAAGATGGTCAATGACAGAACTTCATAGGCTGGTCCTTACTCCTTCTTTCAAGGCAGGCATGGAAGTAGAAGCTCTTTTTATTAAGAGCAAAAGGATTATTGACACTTCTAGATCTGGAAATTGTCAATATATTGTAACATTACTCTGCACTGCAATGCGGATGCCAACCAACAAATCACAGGCATCCTAGGCTAAACAAAGAAGGTCTGATGCCAATCCTGGTGCCACTGGCAACCATCACTGGCACTCGAACTATTCTTCCTCCTCTTTTTTCCCCTAATCTTCTTTTTAAAGCAACAAAAACACAAACTACTTGGCCCCTTTATTCATTTTATGTGCTAATTCCTTCTTCATATTTTGTTCATGGATTTAATTGTTTCTATGTCTCTGCTTAGTTTTCACATGATACTATTAGGCGGGTTTATATATTCTAAAAGAGAAATAAAAAGCAAAACGGCATGTGTATAATGCAGCATTTTGGTTGACTTCATGCTTATCTTTTGCAAAACCTGGTTCTCTTAATCAAGCGCACTACAATGTGTCACAATTAACCGCTTTCAATGAGGACAAAGAATCAAAGTTTGACAAAATAGAAAAAAATAAAGCCAAAGATAACTTAATATAACTTCTTCAAGAAGAGAGCCAACAGATGTTAACGGAAGATTTACTGTGAAGCCGCAAGACAGATACAAAATACATGCAGTTTACAATAAACAAAAGGAGGTACTAAGGGTGACTTGGTACATAGAAATTACCCAGCTTCATCTTCCAGTATATTCTCAAAGTAGCATCATGTAACTTTGAAAGTTATAATACTACAGCATGGTTATTTTACTCATTTCTGAACAGAGAAGTGTTTTAAATAAACTTGTGTTCCCAAACCATTTAAGCCAAAAAAATCAACTATGCCCTGCAATTCCTTCTCCTACTTCAAGTTACTGACTTCCAACAACTTGAAAGTCGACAGTGTGCAAAAGTACTCTGACCCCAGCTTCTTTGGCTCAAGAGCCACTTCAACTGGTTTGCCTCCCTTTGTAGTTTTGACTCTTTAGAGACAGGTAAATCCATCAGAATTAATCAGTAAGCTATGTCTTGCAATATATGCATTCAAAATAGCATTTAATTTTTCTTTACAAAAAGAGCTTAAAGATACAAATTATTTGTACTCAAGCTATTTTGTTAATGCTATCAAGGAAATCTTTCTTCCTCTGTTGTCGGGGATCAGATTTACCAGACTGCAGCTACTTAAAGTCACTGCAAAATATGTAAGTGTTCTTTACTGCTGTGGAGAGAAAAATGCAAAAAATACAAGCAGGGGAAAAAGAAAAAAAAAAGAAACTATGAACCATATTTTTTCATGATTAATAATACAAAAAATTGAACCCCATTTATAGGTTCGCATAAACATAGTGCTGCACTTGTGTGAGTAAAAAGACAAATTCACTGAAAACAAAAAGGTTGTGTTGCGTATCTGTTCTTTCGAAGAATGAGTATACACTGAATTGAGGCATGTGCAATTGTACTTTTTTTGTTACTAGCAAAACCCATTCCATTTGTTTTTCATTTAAACCTCACAGTTATGTATGGGGCATCAGGTAACAGCATGCCATCTGCCCTTCTGCAGGCCATTCCTGCCTACTACCAGCCCAAGTTGTGAAATGGCCCACTATCTGCGGACAGTCAAACTTTCCCTAGTTGAGATCTGCAGCTAAGAGAGAAATGCTTTATTGCTGCTGATCAGTCAGCAATACAAAGACATTTAGAGAATGGTATAATCACTGGAAAGAACCAGAATGACCCCTCACAGGGGAAAAGCATTTCGGAAGGTTTAGTATCAGAGGAGAAAAAGCCCTTTATCTACTTATAGCCATTAAAAATTTTGAGGAACCTGCATATGAACATTTTTATCTGCATATGCAACACAACTAGCATTTTTTTCCCCTGATGCATGATTATCAGAAGACCTGTTTTTACTTTCATTCTGTAAAACTAAGTTTAAGAAGCTTTTCCATAGTGTTTATGAGATTTTCCACATTTCAATTATCTGCCAAATAAAACTATATGAGTGTGATTATGAAAATACATTTTTCACAGAAAATTCTCCCAAAATATTGCAATCTGGATCTTTGTTTTAAAGCTCAGATAGGTAAAATGATCTAGTGATGTAAAATATGAATAAAACATTAGGTAATGTATGCTGTAATTCTAATTACATATGGTAGTTACAAAGCAGTATTTCTGTGCTACAGTTTTTTCGTCTTTTATTTTATAGACACGAGGAAGTCTACAATAGCTCTTCAAAGTGATAGTAGGTTTGTCAGTTTAAGGATGATTTCTTGATTATTTGTAACTACAAATACAACAATAAATATTTGTACAATTTATTGTGATGGTGCAATTGCATGTACCTGCATCTGTTACTAACAGTACTGGGGGAACCAAAAAAAAAAAAAAAAAAAAAAAAAACTTGAAAAACAGGGAGAACATTTTCTGTAGTCACGACTGGAAAAACTATACCGTATATTACCATTTTTTGACCAAAAAAAAAGGCAATCTCAGCGGAACTAACATACTACCTTGGTACATTCCTCTCTCTCTTGAGAGAGAACAAGGCACGTATGGCAAACACACATGTCATTTACACAGGTCTGTAGGAATGTGTGTGCATGTAAGTCTATACGTATACATGCTGATTTACATATGGATATGTATCCACATTACATCCATAGACCACAGAATAACGTTTCACTGGAAGCCAGCCCATAGGGGAAGCAGGACTACTTGGAATCAGAGTTTGACATACTAACATAGAAACATGACAATCTGCTTCCTACCTTGCTCCTGCACGTAGTATGCCAAAAACAAATCAAGCTCCTTGACTGATACTGTTATGTGATGTGGCTGGACGCAAAGTGCTGGATTTGTGCAATGTGGGGATTTCATGAGCCGCTCTCCATCCGTACTTTCCAAGGGGATGCCTTTGAACAGGATCACCATGACTAGATCCAGACGCCAGACTTTGTCAGCCTGTCGCAGGCAGTCGATCCTCCTAATCTTACCCTTCTGGTCAGGATTGGACAACACACAGCATGGGTGCTTCTTCCCAGTCACCGTGAGCACAAAATCCTCCCGGAACTCTTGGCGAATATCTTTGCGCAGCTTGGCCAGGAGCCTGGATGCCCACTTCTGTTTAATTTCAGGCTTTTCGCTGAGTAACTCATCCTTGACTGCTCTTTCCTCATCCTTTGACATTCGTTTCTCATGTTTTTTAAAGTACTTGCGTTTTCGAGCCTGAAGGTTGAACCAAGTATAGGCAATTGCACGGACATGTGGAAGAAGTGCCTCAATGAACGGGTGAAATTCATCCTGTGGAAAGAAGCGGAGGGGAAAAAAAAGCAGAGAAGAAGAAAACTCAAAGTCAGTAAGTTCTCATAATCAAAGCAGTATTAAAAAATGTTGCTGAAAATCTTAAAGTTAAATCAAAGACGAAGAGAATAAACACTTAAAATTTACTCAAATTTCTGTGTAACACCTTTTATGTCATTACTCCCGCTGTAAGGCAGCAGGCAAAAACAACACAGAGAATCGCATTTTCCCCATATTTCACTCTTTGAAAGAACCATGTGAAGATTTTATTTTGCATGCCTCCCCTCACTTCATCCTGCAATGCTGGAGAGACAACATCATTTAAAAGATGCTATCGAGATGTTTTGTTTCGAATATTTAAATATCTGAGTGAATGGCAAACATCAAGAAAAGTACCATTGCACAGAGGACACACTACGGTTTTAAAAGATCTGAGCAGAAATGTTCAGAAGGCTGAGCCGAATGCCACAGTTCATTTCTCTTCTCTGTGGCACAGAAACACAAAGCATATACATGCTCAGTGTAATGCCACACAGTTCCCGCTTTTGGAGCATGCTCTCAGCAAGAGACTGCTGGTGGCACAAAGAGCATGCGCCATTAAACTTGATCCATTTTCTTATCAAACGTCCAACATTCCAGCACTGAAACAGCACCATTCCAGTGGTGGTAACTAGAGAAACCAGTATACAGTAAGGGAAAGCGGGCAAAAGACACAGCGTGTCATATACAAATCCTGAACAGAAGCTTCTGTACTTTCAGCTCTTCGGGTTTCCCTCCCACCACCCCCAAACTCTGTAAAATAAAAGTTTATGAAGTTGAGAACAAAAATTACATTTATCTTCCTCCAGCAGCTCCACTGTGGGTTTTGAAGCCCCACAGAGTCAGTTAATTTGTTAACTGATCACATGAGTGTGGCAATTATTCTAAACCCCTTAAAAATCAATCTGAGGTGTACAATGAAAAATGGCAACTTGGCACAAACTTTGCATTCTTTGTGTTTCTGCATGCTGTGGCAGAGTGACATTACGAATGCACTTCTGGTCAAATGCTGCTTTTGTGAAACTCATACAATTTATTCACAGTTCCAAAATATCCTTTTCTGTCATCTGGCTTCACCTGCAAGCTCTTATCTTCTGCCTAGCAGCAATATGGATTGCATTAAGGAGGTAATGCTCGGTTGTCGTCTACAAGTACATCCTATAGCAATTAAATTAATTCATTTTGTCTGCCTAAAGTACCATCCTACACATCCATGTTAATATCTAAATAGGCCTTTCCCAAAAACTAATGCCTCGTTTCCACGAGCAAATCCACTGTTCAGAACAGCACGATCTGCTTATCAAGCATTACTGTATTTTGGTTTGGAAGGGAGACCTTAGGGGAGATATCTTTCTTCCTGTGTGCACGCACATTTAGTTTTAAATACCACGCAGACTGCTCATCATACTGAGTGGCACGGTGCAATCAAACTGATAGTGAAAGTTTTTTTATACAATTATACTCAAGAATACAATTAACAAACTAATATTTTAGCTACACTGCTAGACAAGGAATGAATTATGTTTAATCAATAGGCTGATTAACTGCATTAGGTAAAAATGATGAAAGTATAACTAATGGTCTCAATTGTACAGAGTTCAGACTGGCATTTTAGAAGCTTCAGGTCAAGAATTTAGTATTTAAATCTTCAAATTTCAAACAAACTTCAAAATTTCCTAAATGGTAAAAAACTCCACTAGATCTAGTTACTTCTCTCCCCTAACTGTCCTCAAATCAAACAGAAAACAGAGTTGCAAGCCGTTTACCTATGACCATGTTAGCTTCACGGAAAAGAAAAAAAGAGGGTAAAAAAAAATTTAAACAGAGGAGAGAGACAATATAGGAAGATAATTCAGGACATAAATGATTGCATTTCAGTATGGTGCTTGACAAAGAGCCACAAAGGCAATAATTAAACTGATTGGTACTTTCCAGCAGAGATTTGAACAATTCTGGTACTATACTGGCACATAAAACTAGGCCATGGAAAGAGTTAAACCACAATCTGTTCTTTGTGTGGGAAGGCAATACTGCTCTGAGTAACCACAGCCCATGATAAGACTTCCCCGTCTTCATACACTCTTTGATGTTATGCTTTTTCTTCCCTCAACTATAACTACTAAAGAAAGTTTATTTTTTCCTCTACAGAAGTCATCTTAATAGAAGTATTCAAATATTTTTTTTAAATTAACATAAGCATAAAGACTGCGTGGTGCTAAATCCTTGCAATTAATTTTAGACTGAATAGAACAGATTTACTACAGATTTTGAAAATCCTAACAGCTGCAGATAAAGGTTGGTCAAAGGCAAGGGGCTGAAGATCTTTGGGAGAAATTAATTTTTGCTCCAATACAATTATTTCCCCTACATCTAAACAGACTTCAGTATTTACAGCTTAAAATGGCAATAAAATTAATATGGAAAAATTCTGCACTACTAGAATACTGCATATCTAGAGTTCATTTTTAAGAAGAACATCATAAACTATTTTGGAATGGCTATGGTTTCAGGTAATGCACGTAGTATTACCAATAATAACCTACAGTATTTACATCTATGAACATTTTATAGAGAAAAATTCCACTTTTTAAATTCCAATATGTGTTGGTTGAATATTTCCTTTCCAAAGACAAAAAAAAAAAAAAAAAAAAAAAAAAAGCCAAACTTTTAAAAACTGTATTCAGGCATTTCTTTCATAATATCACTGACTCCCAAAGATATAAATATATGTGAAAGAGTGGGAAGGAAAAACACAGCAAAGTACATCCTGTTCTAAAGCAATATTATCAGGTATCTTTGAGACATTCATTGTGCATCTAGAGTCCTTTCAAATTAAACATTACTTGACAAGAAGAAGTGCCCATTAAAATGATCCTAAATGGAGACTTGTAATTAATCACACACGTTCTCCACTAAACCTCCTAAAAAGCCATCTACAGAATTTTATCCCCCCCCCCCCTTTAATATTCATACAGGCAATACTGAAATATTTCTTTTATGTGGCACTTACCCATGTGCCACAGTTGCTCTTGCAGTAAGGTGATTTATAGAGGTAAGATTTTCAAATGTCATATCAAATGGCTCAGGTGAACCACTGTGCACTGGCAATTTAAATTAAAATTGAAATTACTATATAATATCTATGTAGCTTGTAAATAAATAAAAAAGTCACAGTCATCTAATGATGATACATAGGCCAAGTTTTCTTTTTGGAAAAGGTAAAGGGGAAATGCAGTGCCCTTCTCCTATCTTCCACTTTTATAAACTTTGTATCAATTCATGCAAGTTTGAACAGAGGACCATACAATAAATATACCAGGCAGAAGTCTAGACATTTTATACAGAAAACTTCAAGTAGTCAGTTTCCCTGCATGGATTTTCTCTGTGCCTAATGAAACAATATATTCTAGCAGGAAAAGAAAATGACAATATATTCAGAGTTTCCTGGACCACCATAACATAAAAATAAACCACGGCAAAAATATCACAAGAGACCAAGCACTTAAAGGCAGGCAGTAACTGCATCCTATCATGCCTCAGCAAGGGAGATTAATGAAGTTTACACCCATTCCAAAACAAGGGGAAAGAGGCACATGGGAAGGAGATGAAAGTACCCCAAAAAAATTAAATTGAATTTGGTAAGTCTTCATTCTTCCTTGGAGTTATTTTACACCCACCAAACTTTTATTGCAAGAGTGATGAGTAGCATTAGAATTGCCAAGGTTTGTCTTAAAGCTGTACTTTGAATTTCAGAGTTGTTTCTGAAAGGTGTTTCACCACTGTCTCGGCACAAACTGAACTACTGCTTTTGCAAGAAGCTCAGTCCAAACAGGTGTTCTGTGCTCAGAACTTCTACCAAAATGTTTTACTCTTAGCATACACTATCATAATCAACGTGCATCGCAAGAGCCCTAGAGACAGAGAACACAATAGAGAGAACAATTTTGGCAGTACTACTTGAAATCAGTCGCAACTCAAAATAAGATTAATCAATCTTTTGCTTTAAATAAAAAAATAACACAAAGTATAAATTCTCGATGCCAGTGTAATCTTAATGTTTTAATTTATAGAGAGGAAAGATTGTTTTAAAAATGCCTTTATCGTTCCAAATAGGCAGAGAAAAAATCCAGATTAAAATTAATTTGCTGCAACTGTGTTCCATGCACGTACCACTAAATGGGAACTGTCTCTGCATGGCACATGATCAGCATGACTGTAAAATATTAAGGAGAAGTTATCAACACACAAAAGCCAGGAATTGCTTTCTTGTGTTTATGGCTGTAGAAGTACCACGTTGTGTTTTTGTACACAACTGAGTGCGGTATTTTAATACAGATTTGCAAAGAATGAGGAAATCCACTACATCTGTGAGTCCAAAAAGCAAACATATGGGGGAAAAAGTGTCATTAGACCAGGAAACAACAAAATGAACTACCTGCCATAGTAGAGGCGGTAGTGAAAATTTGCATGTTTCCAATGTAAAAACCGCTTTCTTAAGTTGTACTCTCAGGTTTATACTCTGGTGCGTAAGTCTTACTGCCTGTCAATAATTTCACAGGACAGTCCACATAGAATTAATTTTCACTAACTGCAGATTCCACCAGAAGTAGTTATTTCTACGTGTGTACCTGTAAGCATGTGAGTATCTGTTACACAAAACGCCTCCTACATGCATTCATTCCTCTTTTGCAGAAGAAATATCTCAACAGCACTCTTTTCTAGCTTTGCTCCACTGCAGCGCACGTTTACTTGCTGAAAATATCCATATCTAAGTCAATCACACTTAGATGCCAAACAAAATATAAACAATAAAAAATGTGTCAGCCAAAAAGCTACAGGACTGTATCCAATCACTGAATAAGCCTTATCATTGTTTCCATCTTCATTCACAACTTATGAATACTTCAGTCCTTTTGAATTACAATGCTTTCTAATGGTGGACTAACTTAAATCATATTTATTTATTCACAGTGCAACCGTAAGTGCACCGTTGGCCGCTTAGGAAGACTATTGCGAAGAGACGTTACTTTCGCACATTTTCTGCTTCTTTAGCTATTTGTTGCACCAATGTGGAAGCAAGCAGTTATCGCTTAATCAGTTTACATCACATCCTTCTAAGACAGACTTTCACAAAAGCTTCTGAAAACTATCCCCTGGCTTTCCAGCCCGGGTTTTCTCCCCGGGCCAGGCTCCGGTGCCCCGGCGCCGACTCCCCGTTACCGCACGCCCTCCAAGGACGCTCCTGGGGAACTTCCCTAAGCCTGCTCCCTAAAGCCCCCAGGTCTCAAAAACTGCATCTTGCCGCGGCGGGGATCCTCGCTCGCTCTGACCCCCGCGCCCCGCTGTCGCCCGCCGCCACGGTGACAGTCGCCGTCGGGGCTGGACAAAAAATGCAGCTTGCAAAGTGCGGCTGTAAAAACCGGCTCGGTCTCTCCCCGTGCTGGGGAGGGTGTGCGCCCGCCCGCCCGCGAGCGCTACAGTTTAGCCGGGAGGGGGGAAATGCCATGCCCCCGCACCACCGAAGGAGAAAGTGCTGCACGGCTCACTCATCCCCGCTCGCATCGCCCTCACCGTTGGCAGGCTACGTATTATTAATTAAGCATAAGACGGGATTACTTCGCACCGGCGAGAGCTCGTTTTTTGCCAAAACCAGCACTTTTCTTTTCAAACCCTTTCATTAGGCTCCGCGCAAACCGGGGAGCTGAAAAGAGAGCAGATCGTTTGATACAAATCAAATCAATACTTCTCAAACCTGCTTTTTAGCATAATGATGCTCATTTCCATTTTGTTAACCTTTGACTTCCTACGCACCAACAATTAACAGTATTTGTCTACGGATGACACTTTGAATAGATCTCCCCAAAACAATGGCCTGGTACAGTTTATTCTCTTACTATTCCCTCCTGTGAGAGGAGTTTGGATCTGACAAGCATTTACAACTGTGCTTTAACCCGTTACAACTACTAGCAATGACTCATTAACAACTCACTTACATATAAAAATAATTTTTTAAAAACCACGTGAAAATAAATAAATAAATTAACAAATAAATAAAACGCGTCTATACCTGAGTGAGACAGATTGGAGAATACATCATGACTTCTCTTTGAGAACACGCTGCCCGGAGAGCCCCTAAGAAAAGCCTCAAAAAGCAATAATTTCATCTATTCATTTTACAGTCATCTGAGACTCAAGGAAGATGAAATCAATCAGGACGGGGCTCTGCCCTGGATCACCACAACTTCACAATAAACCCCAGTCCTCCTTAAATAGCCAAAGATTCAAGTTCACTCCGTGTGCTAGATTTCCCGGGGTGAAATCCAATCTACACTTTTAACCCTCTTGTAGTCAGCGGCGCAGGAGTCTTGTCTTTGCTGCTGCTGCTGCTGGTGGTTGTTTTGCAGATGAGGGGGGAAGGACTCGAGGGG